TTGAAATGGGTTTTTGAGATTTTTCTGACTTTATTTTTGACCCATGCCTTGCTGGGGTCCTGAGTACACATTCAGTTTTCCTATTGGGCCCTGCAGCCCTGATCACAGGTTTTACCTTCTCAGCTCTGTGTCTATGGGTAATTCTCTTGTGTCACCTGTAATGGCTTTTCTAGACTGTCCATTTTCTTCAAGCTTCCTCCACCCGACAGAGGAACTTAGTTCTACTTTCACTAAGACAGTAGAGGTCGAACCCACTCAAGGTTCCCATTCCCTTCTCTCACCCTTCAAAACAAAGAAATTGTAGCTAAAGTGAACTGAGCACTAACTATCTGCCTGGCACTTTGCTACACACAAGATAGACATTTTATTATCACTTAAATGTCATAAGAAATAATGAGTCCTGGCCAGTGTCACTCAGTTGGTTGAGTGTCGTCTCATGCACCAAAAGGTCACTGATTTGACTCTTGGTCAGGGCACATGCTCAGGTTGCAGGCTCAGTCCCCAGTAGGGTTCTATCTCACATCAATGTTTCTCTCTCTCTCCCCCCCAAAAAAATCAATGAAAACTATTAAAAACAGAAAGCATGAGGCAGATACTATTATTACCTCCTAAATTAAATAATTTGTCCATAGTTCACTGTATCAGTTAGAATTTTTAGCAAAGAAACCCTTTGGCTATTTGGCAGCTCAGGGAATGCATAATCAAGCTTAAAAAATAGGTTGGAAGGTGTGTAGGTAGAGCCAGGGTGAAAAATCACCCTGAGATCCAGTTCAGGGTGGACACAGCTGCCAGTGAACCCCGTTGCTTGGGACTCTGAGCTCCCCTCCTGCTTGTTCTGCTTCCCTGCTGCCCCTGGATACTGGATGTCACTGTGGGCTCTTTTTTATTTTATTTTATTTTAAAAAATATGTCTTTATTGATTTCAGAGAGAGGAAGGGAGAGGGAGAGAGAGAGAAACATCAATGATGAGAGAGTCATTGATCGGCTGCCTCCTGCACGCCCCCTACTGGGGATGGAGCCCAAAACCCGGGCATGTGCCCTGACCAGGAATTGAACCTCCATTTCCTGGATCCCAGGTCAATGTTCAACTGCTGAGCCACACCGGCCAGGCGCTGTGGGCTCTTTTGCTGAAATAAGTCTTCCACTGTTCCTGCTTCTTGGAATCATGAGCGTCTGATTAAGAAAACAGAACGGGGGCATCTGATTGGCTGAGGCTCTGCTGTGTGCTCACATCCTAGCTGCAAGAGAGGCAGAAAACAAGTATTTGAACTTTAGGAGTCAGCACTGTCCCTCCCTAAGGCTTCGGTGGTGAGGGGGTTTCCCCAAAATGGGAAGGCGGATACCGATGGTAGACAGACAACAACAAAAAACAAAACAAAACAAAACACAACAAAACAGATAAATATGTACAGCAGCCACATAGGTAGCAGAAGCAGGATTTGAATTCAGGTCTGTTTGACATACAAGTTTGAGGGTTGTTTTTTTAAACATGTTTTTATTGATTTTAGAGAAGAAGGGAGAGGGACAGAGAGATAGAAACATTGATGAGAGAAACATCGATTGGCTGCCTCCTGCACACTCCCTATTGGAGATCAAGCCCACAACCTGGGCATGTGCCCTGCCGGGGAATTGAACTGGTGACCTCTTGGTTCATGGGTTGACACTCAACCACTGAGCCACACCAGCTGGGCCAAGTTTGAGGTTGTAAGGACAGGGCTATGCAGTCATTCTATAAAACCCCTTTGTTCTCAAAAGAAAGCTCTCTCTGTTGAAGTCCAGTGTTTCCATTTAATTCTTTGACTCCACTCCCTTCTGCTTCCCTTGGCTTTTTCTCTATCAGCAAATCCTTTTCTCTTTTATATTTTCAATACCTCTGTTACAGTGTATTTCTTCTCAGCTTAAACAATGTTACATCTCCCACAGCTTTACAAATACGTTTCCTCAGAACCTTCTCCTTGGTCTGGGCCCAGAGTCCTGCGTTTGAATCCTGGACTCCTCAGTGACCCTGGTTCAGTTATTTCATCTCTCTGAGCCACAGTTTCCTCCTTAGTCATATGTATTTCCTTGTGAGGATTAACCCCAGATAACGCCCAATACATAGTCGATGGTATTATCATAAACATTTTTCCATCACTGCTGGGGCTGGGAACGGGTAGTGACTACAAATTGGCATGAGGATATTTTTTGGGTGATGGAAATGTTCTAAGATTGGACTGTAGTGATGATAATACAGCTCTATGAATTTATAAAAACTCACTGCATTGCACACTTAATGAGTGGATTTTATGGCATGGAACATACTTCAATAAAGCTGTTATAAAATTAACAAAGGTCACAACCCAGTGTTACTCCAATCTTAGTCCCCCCTCTCTCTGTAGAGACTCCTCGAGTTTTTCTAGCCAAGAATCCCTAGAGGCTCCTTTCGAACTGACTTCCCCATGGAGCTGGGGCCTCTGCTATCCCAAGTCTGAAGAAACAGGAGGGAGCAGGGTTATGAGTAGAAGCACCATACTGGGAGCCAGTCAGACCTGGGTTCAAACCCGGGATTCCTCATATGGTCACCTGGGCAAAAGTTAACTCTTCTGAACTTTAGTTTTCAAATCAGTACAGTGGGAGAAAACTCTTTCTGGTTGTGAGGATGAAAGGAGACTCTACCTGTGAAATACTTGCCACCAAACCTAGCAGAGAGTCAGCGCTCACTAGCTGGTTGCTATGGCTACTTCCACAGCTTGGGGGGGTCCCCTGCAAGCGTCCGGCTTTCAGGGATGTTTTTCTTCCTTCGCACTCTTATGTGTCTGCTCTCTCAGCTACACTGCAGGCTTTGTAATTCTCCCTCGAGAGAAACAGCCTCCTTACTAATCTTCCCTCACTCTCCTCTGCCCTGGTAATTATCTCCAGCACCGGCTGTCAGATTTTTCTAGGGGAAAAAATAAAATAAAAACCTGGCCTTGCCACCGCCATCCTCTCTGCGAGCCCTTACCACTCCCAGTTGCTGAGAGGACGGACTCCGAGGCCCCGGCAAGGCGTTGGTGGCCCTCCCACGATGATTTGGCGTCTGCCTCACCTGCCTCAAGGGCTCCCCCTCCGTCACAATTGTTCACAGTTGCAGCTGTTTACCGACCACCCTCCTGACCTCCCTCTGTGGAAATCGGCTTTCTCTTGTCCATCGGTCCCCCCTCCAGGAAGGCCCTTGAGCAGCTCGCTTCACCTGACTAAGTCTCAGCTTTGTCATATGTGCGTTGAAGCATTATGATTTCCGCTTCTGAGGGTTGTTCTGAAGGTAACAATAATAAATATGAGGATGACAATAATAACAATAATGAAAAACAACAATAATAATAGTTAATAATTATTCAGCACCAACTCTGTGTCAGCTACTAAGCAATTTAGGTAAGCTGTCCCATTTACTTAAATCAGGCACAGTTATGATTGTATTTCATCATAGGAGGCTCAGAAAATTTACCTTACTCAAGGTCAGCAGGCACTAAGTGTCAGGGCCAGCACTCAAATCCAGATCCATTTGGTACCAAAAACCTGCTCTCTGATCCTACTATTCTAGGGTTCTAGAATTATCTTCTTTCTTCGTCTCCCTCTGCCTGAGGCCCAGCCCTTACTCAGCGTCTTAAGAAGCTCAGCTGCAGGGGCAAGCTCACATGCTTTCTCTACACTCTAGAAGGACTTGGGTTGCCTCCCCGTTAGGCCACTTCTCACAGCCTAACTAATAGATGCTATTTGTTAAGTACCCGCAGTGTGCCAGGTGTGTCAGAGATTTCTAGCTGTCCATCAGTAGCTGTCTTCCCCTTCGTAGTAAGACAACCCCTGAGTGTTAGCTAGCCATGGTCGCCCAGAATAAAGAAAATATTTCCAGCCTACCTTGCAGCTAGGCGTGGCCATCTGCACGAGCCCTGGCCAAGGGCCTGGGGTGGAAGCGATGTGTGCAGGCTCTGAGTGGGGTCCTCGGGGAGAACCTTCTTTCTCCTCTCCCTGGTGGCTACAATGGGGGCTTGCCTGTGAGAAACGCAGCAGCCTCCTGCATCAGCACATGAGGCTGCCTGTTGAGGATGGCGGAGCATCCAGCCAAAGGAATCTTGCTCCTGCTGTATTAAGTGCAGGTGAAGCTATTACACTTAACTGCTTGTCCAGACTTACATAAGAAAGAAGCCAATGTCTGTCTTTGGGGATCACTGTTTGGGGAAAAATATTTGTTAAAACCGTCGAATTAGTATCTTAATTATACTCTCATTACACTTAATGATACCAGCTGATGTGATGGGCATTGGGGTTCCAAGGTAAATCTCTGGCATTCTAATGGGAGAGGCAGATATTAAACATGTAAAATAAATTTTAAAAAACCTGATAAGTCTTTGAAGGTCACAAAACAAGTCATTATGATACCGAGTGACTGCAGGTGGGAGTGCCGCTATCTAAGGAGACCGGAAAAAGGAGGTGACATTTGGGATGAGACTGAACGTTGAGCAGAAGCCAGCCTCGGGGAGGTCTGAAGGAGAGACTTTACAGGAAGAACGAATTCCCTGAGCCGGGAATGAGATTAGAAATTCAAGGTTCAGAAAGGATACATGTTCCTATCCTTCTGTTTAGAAAGCTGAGACAATAAAAAAATAAAAATAATAATTAATTTAAAAAAAAAGGAAGCTGAGAATGTTTTTTTAAATGAAATGCTTCTTGCTATATGCTTATGGGTTAATTAAACAATTCCCTTGCGGGCCTCAAGAGGCCACGCGGCTTTAATCTGCCTGCCCCCTTGGCAGGAGGGAAGGCCCCTTTGGCACGGCCGCCGGCCAGCTCCCCCCAGTGCTCATCCTGTGCTTTGCTGCCGCATCTGCTACACACTGTTCTCCGGCGGCTGATCTCACAGAAATCCTTTCCTGCCATACCTCACTGCCCACAGCACTGCCAATAAAAGCAGGCCCATCGGCGCTGCCGAGAGCTCTTTCCATCCCCGGCAACACGGCCGCTTCCTTCTCCTGTCACCTGCCACCATGAAGTCTCTGTTCCTGCTTTTTGCCGTTCTTCTGGCTCTCGAACCAGTGGTATCAGGTAACTTGGGTCCCTCTCAAGGACCTGGGATCCCGGTCATGAACTTCTTTTCTTCCCCTTCCTCCTCAGTGTGGGCAGCAGCTGAAGCTTTTCCTCATCTCATGTGACTTTGGGAGGGTTTCCCATAATCATCTCATGTCTACAGCTCTCCCTGATCTTTTCTGCCGGGGTTGTGGGATGGTAGATTTTTGGAGCATCTGGCATTTCAGGGCGGGATGGTGGGATCTTGGGAGCGGGCTCCCAAGTGAAGGTTTGGGTGGTAGGTTGAAGATTTTGGGGGGCTTTGGGAGATTAGATTGAAGGCTGGGGGTGAATTGTGATGGGGGAGAAAGACCTTAGGGTTGGAGTGAGAGAGGGGAGATTCAGATGAGCTGGAGGTGAGGACTTGGGCTTCGCTGATGGGCTGGGGTAGGCTGGAAAAGGGATGGGATTTGGGGTGAGTGGAGCTGGTGTTGGGGATTAGCCTGGGGGGTGGGCTGAGTCTGGGAGTTGGTACTGGATGGTGCAGGGTATTTATGAGAGGCTCAGCTTGGTGGGGGACCACTGCTCAGACCTGCGGCTGGTGACTTGATTAGATTTGGGCTTGGCTTGGAGTTGGGGCTCAAGGGGCACTGAACTGGGTAAGGCTGGGAGTTTTAATTAAGATTGGACTGGGTTTTGAGTTTGAACTGGCTGACTATGGGGTTAAGGAGAATTGGAGATTGGGTTATAGCTGGGGCTGGGGCTTGTCGGGCTTAAGTTAGAGAGGGACAAGCTACTGATAAACAGCCGGCTCCGTGAAATGCGGGTGGGCCACCTTCCTTCCCTAATGTTATAGGTGTTTCTGCCCTTTCCCATTATTCTAAAGCTCCATTTGGTGCAACTTTCACTGGCAGCAATTGATCCCAAAATTAGGAGTAAGAAGTTGGGGGATAGGGAAAGAGAAGGGTAGGATGTTTGAAAAAGGCTTTTAAAAATAAACCTTGGCATTCCCAGTTTTGGAACAATTGTTTCAGCTCTTTCCCCTCTCCAGGTCTCTTCTCTCCTGTCCTGGGACTGGCCCCAGCATAACTGACTCAACCCTCCCCCTCCCTCCTCCCCCGTCCTGTCCTTCTCGCTTCCTCCCGTCCCTCCTCTTGGGGGTAACTAACGCGATTGCTCCTATACCCAGTAGCAGAGTGTTGGATGAATGGACACTGCCGGTTGGTGTGTAAAGACGGTGAAGAGAATGTCATACGCTGCTCAAATCGTAAACGGTGCTGTATCCTTAGTCGTTACTTAACCCTGGAACCCATAACAATTGATGGAATACTTCCCTGGACCACTGCTCAGCCGATCAGAGAAGTAGAACATAAGCCCAGAGTCGGCAACAGAAATCGTGGATAGAAATGACTCTGCTTCAAGTTTCTTAGTTTCCACATTCCATTAAAACTCACAAATCTGTCTCTTGTGCCTGTCAATCATGAGAAAGGATGCCCCAGATGGATTGAGGGAGAGGAAACAGCAAGGTAGGGGCTAGTAAGTCTCAGGGAGACATCACGAGGCTGGGCCACAGCCGCGGAGAGGTGGTTGGAGTTCTGAAGGTGGTTTCTCACCTTCCAGCTGCAGGAGAGTCTGGTGGGTCAGGAGTGGGCTGAGCAGCACATGTGGAAACCTGAGATTGAAAGGCACAGCAGATACCTAGAGAGTGGGAGAGCCCGTGGGCTGGGACAGTTGGCCCGTTTTGGGGGTGAGTGGACTGGGGGTGGCAGGGACCTAGCCGAGCCCAAATCCTTGGATTTCTGGGTAAGTTGACTAAGAGACTTTTTGATGCTCAAGGATCTACAGCCCCAAGGATCAGAAGATATCTAAGTACTAAAAAAAGATAAAGTACACGAATTTACTAACTTATAAATGAATTCGTTTGATAGTCTTTTTTTACATTCTTTCCTGGATTCGTTTACTCATTCACTCCCCTCCGCTCTGCCCCTCACCACTGTCAGGCTCATGCACACACCTCGCAGAATGTCGGTTTCTCCACCTGTAAAAGTGGAATAGACGCTGCCTCAGGGTGCGGGAAGAAAGTGAGAAAATGTAGGGCACCGCCCAGTACACAGTAAGACCTCAATAAGTGCTACTTGTTCCTATTGTTCACTGATTTAAAGCATTTAAGGAATATGTGCCGTGTCTTCCAATTGTGTTAGGCTCTGAGGGACATAGAAGCTTGTCTCATTTAAACTAAGAATTTAGCCTGGGAGAAGGCTCACCCGTGGGGAAGGTTCAAGAATTTTGACTGGGAATATAGAGGATTCTAGAGGTGTCTTCCCAAGCATTGTTATCGTAAATCCCATTCTCCAGGTTTCATTTATCTAACACAGAGAACAGCACAGTGTCCTGTGCAGTGGGGTCAGAGGAAGGAGTGTTCTGTAAAGCGTGGCGCAGGACATAGGGCCAGATCGAAGGAGTTCACTCTGCCCTTTGGAGACAGTTTGCTCTCAGTTCAATATTCCCACGTTCAGACTCTGCAAAGAGCGACCCCTCTCTCTCATCCTATCCCACTCTAGGCTTCCTCTGGCTAAGTCCCTTCCCTTGGGCTGAGGGGTTACTGGGGACAAGGGAGATATATCCACCTAGGAACAGTGGCCTCCCTGCGCCCCCACCGAGCTTCCTAGACTATGCTTTGAGTAGCTGGGACCTGCAGTTTTCTGCCCGAAGAACCCTTGTACCTGCTTGCAGGGTCTGCGTGGGCCTTTCCTTAGGTCCACCCTGCGGGATGAGGCTCACTGTGTGCGCATCCTTACACAGGAGGAGTGTCAGGGCTGTGGCAGAGCTTGGGTGTGCAGGCTGGGGTGCCCGTGTCTGTGCGTATGTCTGTCCATGTCTGAGGCCCCTCCCAGTGTAGGGCAGAGCTGGGGATGGGCGGGAAGAAAGGGGGCTTGCGGGCTGAGGCAGCCCCCTCCTGCTCCCACGTTTCTGCATGGAGCTCTGAACCCAAAAACTGTAAATTCACACCTAACCTTTCAGGTGATCGTGAAGGGATATTTCATAAAGGGCAATAGGATATATTTTATTTATTTTGTTAGCTTGATTCATAACTGTTAAATATTCGGGCATACGATTTATGAGCCTCCATTTGTATTTGCGCCAGGACCCACCCATGTTAGGGTTGTGCCTGGAATTTGGGACCTGCTCTGACTCACAACCCATCTCCAAGCCCACTTCAGAGGCAAGAGATGCGTAAACTGCTTTCAGACTTTTTTAAAATCATTTTTTATTTTTCAATTACAGTTGACATACATTATCACATTACTTTCAGGTGTACACCCAGTGATTAGACATTGCACAACTTACTAAATGATCGTCCCATAAATCTCACACCCACCTGGGGCCATACAGAGTTATCAGAATATTACTGACTATGTTCCCTATGCTGTGCTTTACATCCCCGTGGCTATTCTATAATATGTGCTTTCAGTCTTTTTTTTTTTTTTTTTAATATGTCTTTATTGATTTCAGAGAGAGGAAGGAAGAGGGGGAGAGAGATAGAAACATCAATGATGAGAGAGTCATTGATCGGCTGCCTCCTGCAGGCCCCCCACTGGGGATCGAGCCTGAAACCCGGGCATGTGCCCTGACCGGGAATCGAACCCGGCCCTCCTGGACCATAGGTCGATGCTCCACCACTGAGCCACACCAGCCGGGCTGTGCTTTCAGTCTTGGTGCCTGCCTGTGACTGGGGACTCTCAGGCTGTAGCTACCTGTGCCTGAGGCCCTGGGAGAGACAAAAACGCTTCCTTGATGGCCTCCCTGCCTCCGTATTTTCTTTGAATTAGTCTCTACTATCAGAGGGGTCCATCTGGCCATGACGTCACTGTCTGCGGATCTCCCGTGGCTGCCACTCGCAGGCTGTCTCTCCGGCTACACCAGCCC